GGAGGAATACTCATTTTGTTCATTGATTTGTTTTCTGAGTGAGCTGAATTGCCTGTCAGTATTTTCTCATATCTCATTGGGTATTTTCAGAACTGCAATCTTGAAATCTGTCATTCAACTTGTATAATTCTGTGTGTTACAGCCTGTTTTCTGGGGATTTTTCTTTTTCTTTCTTTTTTTCTGATCATCATTGTTGTGGTTGTTCATGGCATTGGTTGTTCTCCTTTGTTTTCCCATTTATCTCTGTTCCAGTAGATGGCACTGAATTGCAAGATTTCTCTCCCCCCCACCCCCACCCCCCCACCCCTACCCCTCTGTGGCCTCACAGTTTTGAGCCGCTGTGGCTTCCCTAAGGTTGTACTGCCTCTGCTGCTTGGGAGTGAGGTTTGTTTTTCCCTCATGGTAATGGCAGTCCCTGACCTTCAAGGGTCTAGCCCAGTGGTCGGCAAACTCCTTAGTCAACAGAGCCAAATATCGACAGCACGATTGAAATTTCTTTTGAGAGCCAAATTTTTTAAACTTAAACTATATAGGTAGGTATGTTGTTATTAACTTAATTAGGGTACTCCTAAGCTGGCCTTTGCTAAAAACATCCTCAATCTGATTGAGGTACGTTCGCTGAGGTCGACCCCTTCCAACTCTCCCATCCCCAACTCGTGCATGAATCGTGCACGCGCACCTCCCCCAAGCTGCGTCTCCTGTAGCCCAAGCGACTGACAACCCCCACTTCTTCTATTGCCACTACTTCAAAATAGACTCGCCCAGGCCAAAAACCAACTTCTGCGCATGGGCCACGAAGTTTCAATCGCACTGTAAGTGCAAACCCGCACGTGGTATTTTGTGGAAGAGCCACACTCAAGGAGCCAAAGAGCCGCATGTGGCTCGCGAGCTGCGGTTTGCCGACCACTGATCTAGCCCAAGCACCCCTCCTGGGGCTCAGTCACAGAGGGAAACTGTGTTTCTACTGCAACAGCTCTTGGCCTACAGACAATACACTCCTGGAAACAATCCAAGAGCAATGGGAGTCCAATCAGTGGCAGGGCTCTGCCATCTACTTTCTTTGCCTGAAAGCCAGCAGCCAGGCCCAGGCGGTGGGGAGCGGGGAGCGACTCTGTAGGGAGGCTGTCTGCTGACTCGCAGCTCACAGCTCACGCATGGAACTCAGATCTAATTCACAACATGCCCCCACGGTTCAGACACTCTCTCACTGTTTGTGTGCAACCACACAGTGCCGCCACTCTAGTGGCTATTCCAACAGCCAGCCACTTGCTGGGTTAGCTCTCTGTTGGTCCGACCAGCTGAGGAAAATCCCCATGACTGCTGAGGCCAGTTCCCAGCTGCGCTGTAGACACACTGTAGCCATGTTCGGCTTCCCTCCTTTCTCTCGTCTCCCCACTTATTCCAAGGAGCCCACCTTAGTTGTTTCAGTGTGCAGGTCTCTCAGGCGTGCATCTGTGTTGAGCAGGGACTTCTTTGTTGAATGATAGGTGATTATTTTGTTGAATTTAGTTGTCATGTCTCCTTAGTCTCCTCTAATCTCATATCCAAGAGGATAGATGTGCCCTTACGCTGCCATTCCTCTGACGTCACTCTCCCAATTTAAATTAATTTTAATTTAATTTTAAGTAGCCACAGGGGCTAGTGCAGGGGTGGGCAAACTTTTTGACTCGAGGGCCACAATGGGTTCTTAAACTGGACCGGAGGCCCGGAACAAAAGCATGGATGGAGTGTTTGTGTGAACTAATATAAATTCAAAGTAAACATCATTACATAAAAGGGTACGGTCTTTTTTTTTTTTTTAGTTTTATTCATTTCAAACGGGCCGGATCCGGCCCGCGGGGCCGTAGTTTGCCCACGGCTGGGCTAGTGGCTACTATTCTGGAAACTGCAATTCTAGAAGAAAATTGACTAAAGAGAAATACTAGCTAAATGTAATGGATGAAACTTGGTTAAGACCTGGATAGAAAAATTAGTTATAAATTGCTATCTTAAGGACAACAATATGGACTAGTATTAGACAATATCAACAATTGTTATTTTCTTTGGTGTGATAACTACTCATAATTCTTATTATTAAAATACTAGAGGCCTGGTGCACGAATTCATGCACGGGTGGGGTCCTTTGGCCTGGCCGGCGATCAGGGCCGATTGGGGCCAACTAGACAGGGGGAGGGACTGCGGGAGGTTGGCTGTGGGAGTGCACTGACCACCAGGGGGAAGCTCCTGCATTGAGCATCTGCCCCCTGGTGATCAGTGCACGTCATAGGGACCAGTCAACTGGTTGTTCAGTCAACCAGTTGTAACAGTCGCTTAGGCTTTTATATATATAGATGCTTAAGTATTAAAGGGCAAAATGTCATGTCTGTTGCTCAATTTTTAAATGTCTCTGTGGATATAAGATTAGAGGAGACTAAGGAGACATGACAACTAAATTCAAATGTATAATTCTTGATTGGACCCTAGAACAAATAAAGAACAATAATTAAATCTGAATAAAGTCTGTGTAGTTATTTAACAGGATTGTAAGAATACTTATTCCTCACATTTAATAATTATACTGTGATTATTATGTTAGTATTAGGGGAAGCTAGGTAAAGGGTATATGGGATATCTGTACTATTTTTGTAACTATTCTGTGAATCTAAAATTATCTCAAAATAAAAACTTAAAAAAAATTGTTTTAAGTGTGGCAGGATAGTAAGAAGCTAGGGAAAATTTCTGGGAAAGTGGAATGGGAAAATTGAGACAAGAAAATTAAACAAGGCCAAATAGTTTTGGCAGCTTGCAGCCAGACTGTGAATCACATGACCTTATCTTCCCCAACCAAGGACACTTGAGAGCAAATGGTTTAGACAGCTCCTCCCTAACCAGAGAATACATAGCTTAAATCACCCTTGCTTGGGAAAATAGAGAACAAAGACCAAAATAATGTCATTGTACCAGATAAACACAAGGACAGATAAAGTCTGGGGGACAAACAACAAAATCCCAAAAACTTTGGGATGGTATCACTTGGGAGATATTAGGCAGGAAAGATGGGTGCTAGAGCAGGAGGGGGGAAGGGGAGAAAAAGGGGAGTTTATCTCACCCACTAAACAAAGAAGTCAGCTGTCTTAGGTCTTGCTAAACAAGATGACCAGATGTATGTATAAACATTCTGAGATAAGCCACAATATAGAAGGAGACTTTAAAACTTAATCTGCTTCCCAAAATATTTGGCAGGGTAACTTTGAAACCTATAGGGTGAAGGGTATAAAACCCTTTGATTCCCCACCAGGCAGGATGCTCAGACTAGCTGAGTTGCCCACTTATCTTTATGCCAACTATATTCTTAATAAATTCACATGCTTTGCTTCCTTAGAAAATTTACTTACTTTTCTTCCTAAATAAATTTGCTTGCTTTGCTTCAACACTGCTGTCTGTCACTCATCTGAATTCTTTCTCAAGAGCTGAGGAGGGGAGAGCCCACTCAGAGGGCTCTCTGGTAGCATAAGAACTACAGAAATTTCACAGGAAAAGTGCAAAATTGTTTACACGGTTGGGTTGGTAATGCCTCTAGGGTCTGTGCACTGCCTATCTCTGTAGCATGTTTTCTCCTCTTATTCATAGTATCTAGTAACACAGAATTTCTTTGCAATAGCCTCGAGCCCTTTGCACACGGTAAGTCTCCGCACCCCTCCCCCAACACACTCTTCTGGGGATAATCACTTCCTTACAAAAATTCTCATTCTACCCACCCCCAAGCCCAGATTAATTTCCCTTGCTGTAAATCCCATAGCATTCTTGGCTTTCTCTTTTGTTGCATGCATTGTTCTTGTTATTTACTTGGCTGATGACTATAAGGGAAGGACCACTACTGTATCAACAGTGTGGGCAAACATCTTCATATTTGAATAAATTTAGGGAAGTACTTGAAAAGTTGGTGGAATCATAGTCATGTGTTCATAATTTCTGACTCATGCATTCAATATTTACTGAGGCACCAGAATACAGTGGTTAGTCAAATATACACGGTTCCTACTAGACTGGGAAGATGAGTTATTTAAATAAAATTAGTTACAACTGTGATGCATGGCAGGAATGGTCATTCAACATTGTAGAAGGATGTCCAGATAGATTTCTGTGTTCTATTTTTATTTCTTGAGGGGGAGGCCCTCAAAGTCTCTTTCCTTCCAAGACTGCCTATCAAAAGTCAAGGGAACCCTTTCCCATAAAGCTCCTCTTCCCAGTCTTTGTGGGGGTCACACCATGGACACTCTCACAGCAGAACAAGTGATTCCTAGTCTCAAGTGGGCAACTTGAATTTCTGACTGGGGGAACCCTGATTTTCTAGGCCTCAGCTGGCCCAGGGATGATCCCCTCAAACCCTCTCAGAGGAGTTTGGCTAGCTCCTTGGTAAACTGTTCAATCATTCAACAAACTTATCTTTTGAGCTGTGTGCCAGGCACCTTGTAGGAGCAGGGGCTAAAGCAATGAATAAAAGAGACAACACATCTGACCTAATGGAACCTAGAATCTAGTGAGGAAGAAAGTCAATAATAAGAAAAACCAGTAAAATCTAAAAAAATATTTTAGGCAGATAAGTGCTAGAATAAGAAGGAATGCATAATGCATACACATGTATGTTTGTGGCAAGGTGAACATTTCCAATGGGGCAGCCAGGGAAAACTTCATGGCTTTTGAGTGAAGATGTGAAGGAAGTAAGGAAACCAGCTTTGGGTATGTCTGGCATTCTAAGACAGGAGTGAGCCTGCCACCTTCAAGGACGAACAGGGAGGCCTTGTGGCTGGAGCTGAGTCCCCGAGGGAAAGGGAACTAGGAGATGAGTCTGAGAAGCCAGTCACATAACCCTGTAGGTCACAATGGCCTCTTTATGAAAGAGAGGGCAATGTTATGAAGTTCTCATACTAACTTCTCTCACACAATCAATGCAGTGCCCAATTTTGTTATTCTCTGCCCTGTCATCATATAATAAGCAGTCAGTCAATTTCCATACTTACTAGGTTCTATTGGAGTTCCACAGCCAGCACAGAAAAAATTCTGGGCTGCTACCACGAGATCCCTCCTAGGTATAGAAAACAGTAACAGTTACATTTCAGAAAAGGCCAATGGAGCAGTTTTTACTTATTGGAAAATAAACTGATGATACTTTTCTTGTCTTGGGGCCTTAATTTTGTCATTTTCCATTTGTGAAGAAATAGAATTACTCAATAGAGTTTTCTAGTTGAAATCCCTGGGTCACTAAAGCAGAAGTTAGTATCACGAATAACACTTCCACCAAAATCTTTAGAGACTTCACACTGCGCATGCATAGGATCCTCTCTCCAGAGAGAACTAGAGATAGGCAATGCAGGGAGAAAGTTCAGGTAGACCAGACATAAGAGGTGATTGTATCTGGGAAGTCCACAAATAGATCCAAAGAAATTTAGACAAATAAGGATAATGTAAGACAAAACTATACATTTCTGGTGAGAAACCATCTAGTGAAGTGTTTTCTATTGAACTGTTGGTGCCATGACTTCACATGTGATTTGGAAATACAAAATAAGTTATAAAATTTTATTATAGTTTAGGGTCAGCAAAATTGGTCATGGCAAAAATATGCAGAACCCTACCCATGTGCCTTTCCTTAACTACAGGAGCTCTCCTCGAGATTAAATTTTTATAAAAAAAAAGTCATTGATTTTTATTTCATATTGCACTGAAAAATAGAAGGATCCAATCTTTTTAAATTACTGTTATGATTTTTTAGGTTCAATATTAGCCACTAAAAATAGTCCTTTTAGCCTATTTCAGTTGCTATGTAATGGCCGTAATTAAGAACACACAGTGAAAATCTCAACTTGTCAAAACTTACAGAGTCCCTCAAAAGCAGGGTGCCAGAAAGCTAACTCAGAAAAATATGCCCAACCTACCTTTTCCTAAAAAAAATTTTTCTTTGTCCCTCAGTGTATTACTTTTTTCCTTTTCCTACTTTCAGAGTCAGGTAGGAACTGAGACCGTTTAGGGACTTGGGCCCAGGAACAGAAAAAATACCAGGTGGCTAGGAAGACAAAAGGCCATTGGAACACCAAATAAGCTGACTGCAAGAATGTCACCACCCCTCCACTCCCTACTTAAAAATGCAGAGGTAGCTGATTTTATTTTCTTATAACTGCCTGCTTCTTGCAGGTGTTGTAACTACTGACAACACTCAGTTGATCAAGGTTTGAATGCTATATGACCTTCCTAAGGTGGTGGTAATGAGCAGTCTGCCATCTTACCCTCATAGCACAGGTGGGAACATAGTTACCAGACAACTCAGCTGGAAAGTGAATTCACTCCACCCTGAAATAGAAATTTCGCAAGCCTGCTTTTTTCAAGAAGAACTGCCTTTTTGCACAAGCCTGCTTTGTCCTCAGCTCATAAAAGGAGCCAAGCAGAGCCAGCCCTCAGAGCCAGTTCAGATGACCTTCCTTTACTCTGTGCTGCCTCCTTTGTGCTCCAACATAAGCTTAATGAAATCTGCCTGTGGATGAAAAGGGGCCACATGCTAACCTGACAAGCTCAGGGAAGGTCTGCATGGCAGCCTTGCAAACTCAGAGACTTAAAGTAACCCCAAAGGATGGTCTGAAATTAAAACTTTTTAAAAGCAATTTATGGCAGACAGTCATGTCCTAAGCTAGACTCTTTCCTGACAAAAGTCAATCTTTACCTTAACTAAAGCTGTCTATTGTATTTTGCATCTATGATAACAGACCTTTGGAATGTCAGGGTAACTCCCCCTGTTCTTCCAGACCCCTCAGCCACAACCAATACACCAGGGCAGAGACCATAAATCCTCTCATTGTTATTATTACCATGTTAATTGTTAACTGTTAACTATCCTATACCCACCTGTGTAAAAGATGTATGAGTCTATCATTTTACTTTTTATTTAATACCAGCGGTTACCCCTGCTTTGCTTTCTCCCACTGTGGGGAGCCGATATAGGGTTAAGCCTCAGACTGACCTGTTGGCAAAGTCACAAACAGGTCTTTCGAGTCTTAAACAACCCAATCCGAAAGGTGGCTGCTGATTTACACGTGCTATCATTTAAAAAATAAAAAAGGGGGAATTTGCCGGAAGCTGGTCCATCCTTGCTGCTTGACACAGTCACTGCAGGGAAGAAACATCTGCACAGCATATGTTTCAAGGCACCTGGGGTATATGGCATACTGTTCTTAATATGTTTGCTCCCCTTCTTAGCGCTATGTGTTTTAACCAAGGTCACCTCTCTGAGAAAGGTTGTTTCCCCAGGTGGGGATTTTTCCCTGGAGTTAGGGAGTAACAGGACTAAGGAAGGGAATAAAACCCCTTAACTAAGTGCCAGGTGCCAGGCGGGTAGTTAATCACCTTAACTACAAACAATTATGCTTAAGCTAGGATAATCTCCTTCCTTGTAGCTTAACAGAACAGTAGAGTAGTGACCTTGGCATGGAGATAACAAACGCCCTAACCTTTGGAATAGAATGGATAGGATTAAAATCAAATGGTATAAATACAGATGTAACAGGAGAATAAAAAGAGAACCTCGCTATGCTGATCAACTGAACGCTGCCTCCGTGTCATTCCTTCTTCGCCGACTCCATCCACACTTTTGGGAACCCCTGGACCTGCTGGGGCTGGACCCCAACATCCCACCTCCCTAATCTATCACCAATGGATTTCATGTAACCCACTTGCTTCTTCTCTTTTGATTGTAATGTATAAAATAAGGTGCAAAACTGCCATTCTCTGGAGTATTATCTCAATCCATTGATATTTGCATTCTGGCAATTGTCGACAGTTTGGCTCAAATAAACTCAAAATTTTCTATAGGTTTGATTGTTTCTTACGTTGACACGTCTGATAATTTCTCAGGGGTTTCTTCTCAATTTCTATATTGGGGAACCCAAGAAACCCAACGTGGGTAACAGAACTAACTTGTTTTAACTGGACTGGAAGCCCAAACAGCAACCCCAACTTACTTATGTGGTGGATGAACATTAACTATGACTTGAAATCTAGGGGGTGCCCAGTCTTCTGTTTCTCTGATTCTTGAGTTAAATTTAATTTCCTCTCCTAAATCCACACTGGATTCAAAGTCTTTTCGGACACGCTCTTCATTTACAACCTGCATAACAAGAGAGAATTTAGGAACTTAAACAAGCCTATTTTAGGAACTGAAATTAAAAGAGCACTCAACTGTATTTCCAACATTAAAATTTACCATGATAAATTAAAACTGCTTTCAACCGAACTAAAGGACGTGGCAAGAGCCCTTCATGTATCTGAAGCCATCTGGAGAAAAATTGTTTCAAACACCACCCAGCTGAGGTCACTTTTCTTTGTTTCTTAGTTATTTTAGTATTTCATTTGTTTCCAGATTTCAAATTACTGCAAGTAGGTCACTGTGACCTGCAATGCTTTTATGGATAGCATTTTAGTAAATAGGCTGATAGATGCTGCCAATCAGAACCTCCTATGGTTGTCAGACTTCCCCAGAAACATCTTTCAAGACCATTCCCCTGCTTGGCTCCCCTCTGAACCTATTATCATTTAAAATCTAAACTCCTCAAATCAGCATTCTAGGTCCTCCATAGTTGGGCCACTAGTATTCAAGCCTTATTTCCCAGGATCACCACTGCCCTCCCCCAACCCCACCAACACACACACAGACAAGCAAACACATGTTATTCAACCACACCAAACCATTCTGCTCAATAAACACCTCACACCTCGGTGTCAATTTTGCTCCAGTTGGCCTTTGCCTCCTTTGCATTTCCAGAGAGATTTTTGCCTACCCCTAGTTTATTTATGTATTTCCTTTTATTAAATTTATTGAGTATAGGGGGACTACTTCTATTTTAGCCTTTGCCACAAAGTTCTCTGTTCCCCATGAGCTGCATGCTGCCAGAGGGCAGAGTGTTCTATAGGGAACTGTGGTCAGCAGTTAGACATGAGCAGAGCAAGGAGGATGGGCCAGGTACAGGAGGGGGTGTGGGGAGCCCCAGGTGCCTAACAAAGGACAATTGTAGGGTGGGACCTTGCCCCAGGGTGACCTTTCCTTCCCTAGCATATATCTGGTCATGAGATTTGGACCAGTACCTCTTGACCTTCCCTCCCTAGAGATAACATCTATGCCTAAAGTTGTATTACAGATCCAGGCCCAGATAAGCAAAAAACCAGCCACAACTGTCCTCAAGACAAGCTGCACTGAATAATGACCCCTGCCCTGGTCCTTGCCAGTCAATCAGTGGAAACCCAGACCCTGAAAGGACACACCTGGAAAACTGCTGAATATTCTATTGAGATCTTCCCCTGGGACCTCCCCTAAAATCACCCTCAAAACCCTCAGGACAGAGGACCCTGGCAGCTCCAGGGACTCCAGGGACTCCACTCCAGGGAGAGCGCTTTCTCGCCCTCCAGGGAGGGAGAAGGGCATGCTTTCCCTCCTTCTCATTTCCCTTTCCCCTCCTCCCTGCCCCAGGCACCTTACTGTTCGCTTCCACACTCCCAAGCTCCAAGGGCCCTTCCTTTACCTCTATAACTTGTTTCCTAAGCCCATTTCTTCTAGAAATTACTTTTTCTACTTCTGTAATTCACCCCAAAACTGTTTGGGTCTTGGCTCTGAATTTTTTCCTAGCCAGAACCCAAGTACTGAGGTTGCTGAACCCAGGTTTGGTCTGACCCCACCAGTCAGACACCTGGTGCCTTCCCGCTTCCTACAACAGAACCAGCCTGGACTTTCAAATTAGGCAGCATGAGGCATAACTCTTGCTGATACATGAGGAGTATCTAAATCTTACCTACAATAAGATTTTAAAAAATATATTTTTATTGATTTCAGAGAGGAAGGGAGAGGGAGAGATAGAAAGGGGGTAGGAGGGAGGGATCTAGTCATATCCGAGGAGTATCTAAATCTTACCTACACTGACCAGCCCTGCTGGGTGTCTTGATATAAAAATGATAATAGCATCTACCTAATAGGACACATGAGAATTAAAATGAATTTCGGGTGCATAATAAATACTCAATAAATTTCAGATTCATCCTTCCTTTCAATTCCTCCCCCAACACCCAGTGACCATAAAGGAAACACATACATGTCTGAAATGAATAGCAGGCAAAATGTGAATTTAGGAATGTGAAACTTCCATTCAAAGTCAACTTTTTTTGATACTTACTATGGAGCCAGATGCATTGAGGGAAACTGCCAGCTGATAATTAACTTCTGACAACATCCAGCACTTACGGAACACTTGGTACAATTCTTTGGCTATTAGCTCAGCTGAATTGAAGTTTGGCTCATAAATAACACTGAAATGTAAGAGATGCAAAAGATTAACAGTTATATTCATGAGGAGTATAAGGTTCTTCTTCAGATTTTCAATTATCCTTCCCTCTCCAAAAACTCAGAGGAGGCATCATAGAAGAGACCATGCATCAACCACGGTACCAACGGTTATCTTACTCAACACAATTCCTCCATGTTCAACAGAGTAGCTTTATTTATTGAGGGTACCAAGACTGAGAGGTATAGTGAAAAGAGCACTGGATTTAGAGTTAGAAGACCTAAGTTCAAATCGTACCTCTGTTATTTAGCAACATTGTGCCCCGAGGCACACTGTGTCTGAACCTTAGTTTCTACATCTTTAAAATGGGGTTTTAAAAAAGCCTACCCATGAGGATCACATAAGAATGTATACAAATGTATACAAAAGTCTTTTAAACACTATAAAAACATTGTAGAAACTTGAGTGGTGATTGTTGCATTTCAACTGACTGAACTTGGCCTGAGATGTTCACAGAGGCCTGGAATTCAGTGTCTCAGAAGTGATGGCCCAGGGGCCTATGTGAAGGAGGACATGAAAGAGAGATACCTCTTAGAGGAGCTACAGGAACATCCACAGGTTTCTGTGGTATTGCTGAACTTTCCAAGTTCTGTGGAAAAATAGAAGAAAGAGTAGAGAGGTCTTTTAGTCTGTTTCACTTAATCACAGTCAATTTTATAAGCACACAAAAATAGCTCCCTGCATTTCAGAAAGCACCACTTATTCAGCATCTTCATACTTCAGTGTCTTTTGAGTTTCTATTATGAGGCTACAGCTAATAACCAAAGACAGAATTTCAAAATATACTCACCTGGCCTGGCCAGTGTGGCTCAGTGATTGATTGTCCACCTATTAACCAGGAGGCCATGGTTCGATTCCCAGTCAGGGCACATGCCCGGGTTGTGGGTTCAATCCCCAGTGGGGGGTGTGCAGGAGGCAGCCAACCAATGATTCTCTCTCATCACTGATGTTTCTTTTCTTTTTTTAAAAAAATAGCATTTTAAAAAATATATTTTTATTGATTTCAGAGAGGAAGGGAGAGGGAGAGACAGAAAGGAGGCAGGAGGGAGGGATCTAGTCATATCCGAAGAGTATCTAAATCTTACCTACAATAACAAATTTATCAAAGTCACATTTGCAGGCCTCTTTCACCACATCACAGTAAGTAGGTGTTTTAACAACTGGGCTGACCTGTAACACAGCACAACCTAGAGGGAAAAAAGGGGGTTTCACCAACAAGAAAAAAAGTACACAATCTGTAACATGCAACTATATAGAAGTTAGGAATAAAAAGGGCTAAGAATTTTAAAATTCAGCTTCAAGAATTTTCAGAAAAGCAAGTGTAGTAAGCAGTGAGAATGGCACCAGGTGTTAGATCAGTGGAGTCAGAACAAACCTTCATTCAGCAACTTCGGTAATGGAATTCTGGCTAGGAAAGAATTCAGAACCAAGACTCAAATTACAAGAGAAAATTTATTTAGAAAGTCATAGAGGTAGAAGTGAGCCGTAGAAGAAATGAGCTCAGGAAACAAGTTACAGAGGAAAAAGAAGGGTCCTTGGAGCTTAGGAGAAAGAGAGAAGCCAGGAAAATGAGCCTGGGGGAAGAAGAGTGGGAGGGAGTGGGGAAAGGCACTGGTGTTGATTGTCTGGTTTTGCTGCTTCTCTGGGCCTGGAGCTGAAATATAACTGAGGCCTAGATGAACTTGATGCAGGTCAAAACCTCATTGTCCTGGGAGCTTAATGCTTAAGGGCTATTCTTTGTCCCTCTTGTTTGTTTTCCTTCTGAGGAGTGGGTGTCTAGCCCATATGCCTAGCAACATGCCATGGGAGGATGGGTCAGGGGAGGGCCCGAACCGCATGACCAGTGTTATGAAAGGTCAGAGGGTCTAAATCGCATGATCAGCAATATGCTAAGGAAGAAAAGGTCACCCTGGGGATGAGGTTGTTTTCCCAGTTTTATCCTTTGCTAGACATCAGAGCTTTTCACCCTGGTGACCTTCTGTAGCACCTGACCCATTGCCCTTGCTCTGCTCATGTCTAACTGCCTACCACACAAAGAATTATTTCTGTGTTGTTCTTACATTCACCATCACTAAGTGAAACACACTGAGTATGTGGGAGTTCATAAAAGTAATCTGTCTGCTTTTACATATGTTTGAAAATTCCAATAATACAAAGGTTTAAAAAATGGTAGCGGGGAAAGCAATTTCAGCTTCACAGTGAGGGAAAGAATATAGGTGACATAAACACTGGACACAGACACAGATATATATATATATAGAGAGAGAGAACACCATGTGAAGAAGGAGGCAGAGAATTGGGTGATGTGTCTACCAACCAAGGAACATCAAGGATTACCAGCAACCACCAGAAGCTGGGACAGAGACATGAAGCAGATGACTGGTCATAAAAAGAGAGAAATTTGGACACAGACACAGATATATATATATATAGAGAGAGAGAACACCATGTGAAGAAGGAGGCAGAGAATTGGGTGATGTGTCTACCAACCAAGGAACATCAAGGATTACCAGCAACCACCAGAAGCTGGGACAGAGACATGAAGCAGATTCTCCCTGAGTCTCCAGAAGGATCCAGCCCTTCCCACAACTTCATTTCTGACTTCTGGACTCCATAAATGTGAGACAATAAATTTCTATTATTTTAAGATACCTAATTCATGGTATTTGGTAACAGCAGCCCTAGGAAACTAATAAAATATGTACATACTTTTCTATCCCTAATACCAGTCTGGGGAATTATCCTAAGAACGTCATTAAAAAGAAAATTTAATGAAAGGGGAAGATTTGGGGACCTGGCTGGATAGCTCAGTTGGTTAGAGCATCATCCCGATAACCAAGGTTGCAGGTTCTATCTCCAGTCAGGGCAACCAATGAATGCATAAATAAGTGGAACAACTAATCAATCTCTCTCCCTCTTCTTTCTCTCTCAAATCAAGAAGTACTTTTTTTTAAAAAAAGAAAGAAGAAGGCTTTGATCACTAAAGCGCTATTTGTAGTCTATTTAAAATACTGAAAGCTACTTTAATGTCAAGGAATAGGGAATTGATATTGTAAATCACTCTGTTAACTCAAGAAATAACATAATTGAAAAATGTGAAAGTCATAACAACTTGAAAAACCGGTTATGAAATACTGTTAATATAATCATACTAGTGTCCCAGTGCACGGATTTGTGCACTGTTGGGGTCCTGCCCCAGCAGGTCCAGGGGTTCCCAAAAGTGTGGACGGAGTTGGCGAAGAAGGAATGACACGGAGGCAGCGTTCAGTTGATCAGTATAGCGAGGTTCTCTTTTTATTCTCCTGTTACATCTGTATTTATACCATTTGATTTTAATCCTATCCATTCTATTCCAAAGGTTAGGGCGTTTGTTATCTCCATGCCAAGGTCACTACTCTACTGTTCTGTTAAGCTACAAGGAAGTAACTGAAGGAGATTATCCTAAGTAGAGATTATGTAGCTTAAGCATAATTGTTTGTAGTTAAGGTGATTAACTACCCGCCTGGCACTTAGTTAAGGGGTTTTACTGATTTATTCCCTTCCTTAGTCCTGTTAATCCCTAACTCCAGGGAAAAATCCCTACCTGGGGAAACAACCTTTCTCGGGGAGGTGGCCTTGGTTAAAACACATAGTGCTAAGAGGGGGAGCAAACATATTAAGAACAGTATGCCATATACCCCAGGTCCCTTGAAACATATGCTGTGCAGATGTTTCTTCCCTGCAGTGACTGTGTCAAGCAGCAAGGATGGACCGGCTTCTGGCAGTGCACATTGAAAGGAAATTAATTAGAAGAAATATTTTAATATCTCTATTGGCGTCTTGCTAATGAAAAGAAAATAGGATTCTACCAAGTCTCCTATCTATCTACTCCAGGACTTCTGTGAGGATCAAATGAGATGAGGCACGTGAAAAAGCTTCACAAACATTTGGTTAAAGTGTAAAATGTTTGCACCTGTCTATAAAGCAAGTTGGTTCCTCGGCTGAAGAAACTCCAAGGAGGCTAGTTGCTAGGAAGAAGAAGCAGGGTGCTGCTATGTGACGTCATTACCCAGCACCCACAGTGACCGCTTCTGGGCTGGGCTGTGGGCTGCATTTTGTGCCATAGGGTCTTGGCAGCATTGGCTGCAATTTGGTGAGGTGTTGCTCCGGGGTGTTGGAGGGGCCAGTGTCCCTCTTGGGGGAAGCCAAGTGTTGGTTTGTGGGTGCCACGGCGTTTGTTTTTAAATGGCCAGTGGGCGTCATGGAAGCTTTTGCGTTGAGTGCCTGACCCCTGGTGGCCAGTGCGCATCATAGCTACCAGTCACACAGATGGACACTTAGCCTTTTATATACATAGATTAGTGATGTAATTACATTAATATGAGTGTATAATTACTGTAAAACTGAATTCACTTGAATAAACATAGAAATGAATACAGGTGTTTAGGGAAATAGTGTAGTCCATATGTTACAGAGAGGTTATGTGAGTGGGTTTCATAGTTGACTGGCCAGTTTAACACTGCATTGCCCCATCCCAGCCAGGAGACAATAGGCAATAAACTTCTCAGCTTTGGTTTCCTCATGGATAAAATGGGGACAATTTCACCTACTCCTGTCTTTCCCACAATGTTTTGACCATGATCCACAGTAACATACAATTTACATTGCAACTAAGTGTAAGCACGAAAATATATTTAACCGTTAAAAAGTTCCAAGAAGCATTCCTTGCTCATCCTCACTAATCTGACGTGCAGACTGATACTTTCTTTTCTTTTTTCTTTATTTTAATTTAATGATCTCATGACCAACCTGCAATTTAAATATATTTTTATTGATATCAGGTTAGTGAGAGGGAGAGAGAGATAGAAACATAAATGATGAGAGAATCATTGATCAGCAGCCTCCTGCATGCTCCACACTGGGGATGGAGCTCACAACTTGGGCATTTGCCCTGACCGGGAATCTAACCATGATCTCCTAGTTTATAAGTCAATGCTCAACCACTGAGCCGTGCCAGCAGGGCCCAACCTGCAATTTAAAGAATGCTGACCTACCTCATGGAGTAGCATCTATCACCATAATGTGATTAGGAAGAGAAGATGGTGGCAGAGTAGGCAAATCTTTCTTGTACCTCCTCCTAGGGCCAGACTGGAAATAAAACTAAACTGGGGAACATTCACCTGGAATTACCAACTGAAGTCCAGCTGAAGAGAAGACATAATAAGGAAGGGCAGAAAACACCTGGAGCCTGGAAGGATGGGCGAGGTTACAAGAGGGGCTGACCTAGCTTCCACAGGCGGTAGGCCAAGAGTGAGGAGGAATCTGTCTTATGGCTCTGTCCAGAGCACCAGAGCCAAGAACATCTAGCCATGAAAGGTGGGGGGCTTCTATCTCCTGGGAAGACCAGAGCTGGTTGAAGATAAAGCCACATTTTTTTGTTTTAATTCAGAGCACAGGATTTTTGTTTGTAGCTATTCATGAGGCTTTAATGGAGGAGTGCAAGGTGGACTGGAGATGCCTGAGGAGAGGCTGGGGTGGGAAGCATTGGGGGTAGATGTGAAAAAGTGGCAGCCAGGAGATCTGCAATCTGTCATAATCCCCCAAATTGAAGCGGCCATTTTTCCTGAGATGTGTAGACCCCTCCCAGAAGCCACAGTTCAGGACAAGTCAAATATCCCACCCTAGGGGATACAGCTCGCCCCACCCTCAGGAAACCTGCTTCCACACTCTGCATCTCAATCACTGTAGAGGAGATGGCAGCAGAGGCCAAGCCTGTGGGTTTAAACAGTCTCAGGGAGCCTCAGTGATTGGTTTGGGGGTGGAGCTGTCCACCCCACCATCCTGGGAAGCTGACTGGTTCTCACTCCTCACAGGAGAGCTGATAGAAACTCCCATTTTCTAGCAGATCCCACTAGACTGCATACAAGGATCTCCACCCAGCCAAGGACAGTGAAATATTCTGGAACACTCTCACAGGAGTAGCTCTGGGGAAACACACCCACCACTTTCCGGGGGAGGCAGAGTGCAGGGAAATGAGGAAGTTTGCTAACTGGGTCTTGTGCTGCTAACAAACAGGCCTGAGAGTGCAGCTTGGACCCTCCCATGTGCAGTCAAGTACTGTGGGGACAGACACAAACTCTGGATCACTTAAAGCTTATAACAGATTGCTGAGAGTTAGATATGGACAGCTCTGACATTGGTTAGCACC